TGTCGACATGTTGCGAAAATCGAGTAGAAAGTGGGTTTTTTTCTGGAATCCTTTGACCAATTTCAGAGGCCTGCAAGTCTTATCTAGTTATTTACTAAAGTAAAAAAAAAAGGAGATAAAAACACTTTTTGTTCTGTAAATCATCTGAAACCTCAGTCTTGTGCTACGTACATCTATTTCATTCATAAATAACATACTGATGACAGAAATCTGTTGAAAGGTTCAACAAACTGCTTAAATAAGCATCACTACATGGGTAACATAAGGTTTAACTTACCTTCATCTAGTTTAATAGTTAATAGAGTCCCTGAAATGTCGACGGTGTTCTTACGTCTTCTCGTTATTTGCAACAATGGGTTGGATTCGTGACTTAAATTGATATCGCAGAAGAAAATCTTTTTTTTTTGCCTGCATTAACTCACAAAGAAAAAGCCTGTTCTGACAAAAGAAAACGGTGGGGAGGGGGGAGGAAGGAAGTGATTGCTAAGTGTTGGAAGGAGTCCCATATCTCTCTTAGAAGCCAATGAGCTCTGATAGAGAAATTCCAACAAACCGACTGATTGGCACCGCAAAGGATGCCATTCAATTAGAAATGAACATGTGAATGGAATGCTTCTGAGAGGGATCTGGAGTGATGAAAAATACAGGTTTGGCATGATTGAGCTCAAACCTGTTTGGGGATTGCACGTGTGTGTATGTGTGTGTGTGCAATCTCCCTGATAGGATAGGGGCTTCGTTAGGGTAATTACAGCTTTGCTATGTAAATAAGCCTGTCATAGAGGAGAAAGACACACCCACCTCTTTTTCAGACCCAATTAACCTAACTCCCCTGGAGTTTACATACCTAGCGCTCTCCAGAACACACACGCGTATACACACAGATAAAATCCATTCCAACACTACTGCGTGCACACTTGTCTACACTTATGTTAAGGGCGAATATAGTTGTCGGCGAAGTCTTCCGTGCTCCAAACTTTTCCATTTCACACAGAGCCAGTCCTAGACACCAGGCAACGCAGTATGTGCGTGCGTAAACTTGAGAGCATTTGTGTGTATTCGATCCTGGGCGAAGCAGTAGACTACAGCTAGCCAGGTGATATCTGTATGCATAAGGCATCACCCCAGGCTAACTGGCTGCTGGAGCTGTGGTGAGCAGCATCTATCATCTCAGGCCGCTGATGAATGTCTGTCCTGAATGGCTCTGTGGCGTAGTGAGGGGAGCAGAAAGAGAGAGCACAATATGACTCATGGTGGAAGGAGAAAGGAGGGAGGTGAGGGCTGGTGGTGGTGGGGAAGGGGGGGGACAAGGTGGAAAGATGAGGGAGAAGGGCAGAGGGGGAGGAAAAAGAGGAGGAAGACAAAGACGAGGAAAGAGTGGGAGCGATGAAGAACAAGAAGGCAAAAAACACAAAGACAGAGAGGGAAAAGAAAGTGAAAATGCTCAGTGAGACTGCACAAGAATGTAGGGATGCAGATGCATCGGGGGGGGGGGGGGAGTAGAGGAAGTGGCAGAAGAAGGTGAGGGGCGAGGAAGACGCGGAAGGAAGAAGAAGCAGAAGAAGGAACAGAAATAGGAGATGGAATGGAAGGAGGGTGGAGAAGCATGAACAGGAAGAAGTGAAATGGAGGAAGAACAGGAAGGGGGGAGGAGAACGCGAGAGAGACAGAGATAGAGATGAAGGATGTGGGTGCATGGGGAAGAACAGAGGGAGATAGTGGCAAGAAGGCATTAAAGTGGGTCAGAGGAGAGCAGGATGATGTGGAAGAGAAGGAAAGACAGAGAGGAAGATAAAGAGAGAGAGAGAGCATGTTGGGAGAAGCAAGAAAGTGATGGAGAAAGGATGGAGTGGAAAGAAAGGGAGGATAATGGTAGTTCAGATGACAGCAAACCCAATAATGCACCAAATAAAGATTGACATATGTTGTGTGGTGCGTGGACTAAATGCAAATACATATAAATGAACCCATAATCTCTGCCAAACAGAAGAAAACTAGTCAAACCAGGAAAAAAAGTTGTTAAATACAGCTGATCCGTAACAGGAACTGTTTTTATGAAATTTCAGCTGCGATGTGATCGAACAATTTATATTTACCATTTTCTGTAAAACATTGCGCACCATTGTTGATGCAAGATGTAACATCAGCTTGGTTCCAAATCACCCTGATTTCATTTCATCCAATATTGAATAAAATTATCATATATAGAGGGAAAGCACGAGGACAAAAGCCCAACAGCCTTATCTGCATTTGAAACGGAGAGACAGACACACAATACGCAGTGACGCTGCTTGTGTTTATTCTCTGCAAAAGAGGAAGAGCCAGTGTTCCCGGGGATCATTGGGTTCTTGGATCAATATTGGTGCTATGATGAGACAGTGATAGAGTTTGTGGTCCAGAGCTTAAAAGATACCTACACCATCACTTTCTCACTTTCCCCTTCTCTCTCAGAGTTCGTCAGCACTCAGCTGGCTAAATTTGAAAATGCATATTCTTCTTCCTCTTTCGGCTCTCTGTCCACACTTTGACACCCTTCTTTTATAAAGTCATTACCCGAGTAGAAGAATCTGAAAACAACATCTCATTTCAAAGTAGTAGTGCTGAGCAATACAAACTTTGCTATTGATCCGAGTACTGCCAATACCAATACTGATACCGGTACCGATATTTTTAGCCCGTTACGGTAGCTTATGTAGGGGAAAGCAATGTGCTGCGATTCACGAGATGAATCGTCATCAATTTACTTAATTCGGGACACATTTTAATGACCACCGTGATTTACGTGTTCTACAATAATTAGTTAAAACAACAAAACACACCTTTTAGTTTTTCTTGTATTTTGAAACTGTTTCTTTTTTGGAGACCTGGAATGTAAATGTTGTTCTGTTGTTTAACGGTGCAATAGGCCATAAATAATATTTGAATGTGACAATTATTTAACACAATTCAGTGGGCTACACGCTGAACGTAGTATCGATACTATCATACTAGTATCGATCTGATACCAATACCAGCGTTGGTATCAGTAGTGTCGATATTTGGAATGATCTGCCCAACTCTAGGAGAAGGAAACTTTTTGAAGACCTTCCCGTGTTTGCACATGAAAGCAGTCTTTAGCTGGTTTATTGCAAACATTACACTGCATGCAAATAGGAAACCATTAAGCGTAAGACAAATAGCAGTCCACAGCTAAGTGTCCATAGGTGTCCAGTCATATTTGAGTGAGTTTAAATAGGCTGCAAATAAATGTATTCTTATTGTCACTGTATACTGTATGTCCCTTGGAAAAATCCCAACACTCTTATGTATGTTGCATCACTCAGTGTTTCTTTGTTGCTATGTTACATTCACTAGTTCACCTAGGAAAAATGTTTTGGTCATCCATAAAAATGATGCTCCTCGCTAGTGTTTTTCATCTGTTGTTCCTCTGTTCTTTCATATAATGTCTGCTCATCATGAGGTACATGCTCATGTAGAAAAAAAAGGCTTACCACACATACAGAAATATTTCTCTCTCTCTCCCACCCTTTTCTCTCTCTCTCTCTCTAACTCTCACGCACACAGAAATTCGTGCGCCTGCCTCCGCGCATACACACTGCGCCGTGCGCGCAGGCGTGCACGCCCGCAGACAGTCAACTGTGTCCTTCCCACAGCTAGTAGCACGAAAACAGAACACACTGCCTGTCCCTGCCTTACACACATATATACACACAGACCCATGTGCACACACAAACTCTGAAACAGCCCTCTACACACTCTTAAAGGGACATGACACAAACTAACGCATTATATATCAAGCGCCAGCCCCGTACCTGGATAATCAATTATTATTAGTAGTATTAATATTATATTAAATTGAAACGAAGCTTGTGTGTCTACAAGCATAAAACAAATATAACTTGGAGCTGTATAAACTATAAGCATGTTGATACAAGAGCACAGAGATGATCACATTTTACAGTGTGTAAAAAATGTTTCATTGGTGAAATAGTAAGAGTCCTTTGAAATTGAGACAACACGTGTTGCCCCGAATATTCTTTAAATATATAAGAAACTTTTTTAGTACTTTTTTTGGCCTTATGATAAGGTTTGCGAATAAAGAGAGATAAAACTGGAAAAAGACTAAACAGATTAGGATAATTTTATCATCTGTATATACAGTGGGTGTATTTGTCTGCTAGTGATGCTAAAACTACTTCTTTGTCTTCCAGAACGCATAAAATTGATAATATTTTATACCTCAGGACACTTTAGACACACAATGAGTGACTTATGTGCTTTAAGCAGCTGACCGTACTGATTGCACAACAAAACAAAATTAAAAAGATTAAATTATAGCAGAATAAGAGTTTTCTTCAATTACTTGTGTTCCTACTCCTCCTCCTTTAAGGGCCGTTGAGGTCAGAGAACACTAGTTTGGGAGGCAATAGAGAAGTATTGCATGGAAAATAAAATACAATAAAATAAAAACACTTAAGGCCTCTGATTGGCACTTATATGTCAGGATGATAGCATCAATGAGTGGTGTACGCTGACTGTCCGAAGGCTCAGCAGTCAAAGGTAATAACAGACATCTTTTTCTGTGCGCACAGGACTGGGGTGTCTGGTTGCCCTATACGGTGTCACTACACGACTGGTGCTATGACTGGCCACAGGGGTAATTTAGAGGTACACAGGCCGACAAGGGTGGGTATTTGGGACTATCAAGCCCCCATCTGCTGTGGCAAAATGAAGCCCTGAATCTTTAGCAGGATACATATTGACATATAATTGCTTAGAAAATGTTTAATGTTTAATGTTAATCTTGTGCTGTATATGAACTCACATGTAATGTAAGGCCTGAATTTGAAGGCCATCAAAAAGAACTTGAACTTCAGCGAAGTCGACAAAAACTGAGTCACTATGCCTTTAAGAAGCCCCCACCGTCTCGCAACAGGGGGGGCGTGAGCTGAATCCAGGAACAGCGATTGAAAAAAAAAAAACGCTCCACCAGCGGACTGTTTCAAGTTCCCCCCGGCTGAAACCCTGCCTGATTTGTGGGCAATGTTGGGGATGTAGAAAAAAAGGAAACCGGAGCAAAGAGAGCGCAAGGGAGAGATAGGGAGACAACACTAACTAGGTAGCTATGGAGATAGTAGGTTTTCCTGGTAGCTTTCTTTGACAGGTGTCGAGTGGGATAAAATAAAGTATCAGAACAGCCTCCAAGATGTACGGCAAAGGAAAAGGAGCTGTTGTCCCCTCCGATAGCCAAGCAAGAGAAAAGTAAGTACAATATTGCACTGTCACAACTGAAATCCAGCAAAGAAGTGTGCTAAGGTGGCTCAACTTGCTAACTGATGTGGAGCAGTTCAGTCACTCCAGCAGAGTCACGCATGTTACTGGAGCTCTTTTCTAAAATTTACCGGCTACTTCAAGTGAAAGCTGTGCTACTTTATTCTTCGTGTTTGCCACTTTGTTCGTACTCGTGTCTCTACCTTTCTTCTTATGCATCCTCCCAACTACAGGCATGGCTGCTAAGTTAGCCCAAGTGGCTAGCTGCACTGCCAATTTCACTCTTGTCTTTCTTGTTTTCTCTCAAGTGCAAAAAAAAGAAAAAGAGAGAGAGGCGGCAGTTTGAGCAACTAAAGTTGCTCCACTTTTACCTGCAGGGAGTGTTTTCTGCACGTGCTTCCAGCGATAATGTCTGAACGTGCACTCGGGAGCAATTGATGGGGATCCCACGTCCATCTCTTTGCCCCTCGCCCCACAGTGTGAGGAACAATGCATTTGGAGCGACGCCGTGCATTGTAGCTAGCATGCTTTGTGTCGCCTCGCTGAAGCAGCAGGTATAAATAGAATACAGCTGTTTGGGGCTTTGTTACAAACTAGCAGCGGAACGTGCTCGAGAATTGTTCCAAAAACCCAGACTGGTTACATTGTAGCGATGCCCGTGTTCGGCCAGCGAACAGCCGCTTGCGGTCTCCGCGTAAAGGGGAGCTGCGCCTCCTCTTTAACTTTTGTGGCCCGTGGAGATTTTCTGCAGTCATCCCGAGTTGTGCGAAGCGCCGGCGGGGACAAAGTGCTCACTAAAATTCCGCCGCTTTTTATTTTAAACCGTAGGAGTTCCACATGGGCCTTTTACAGTGGTTGGTTTTTGTTTTGTTGGGAAACTTAGATGGCGTTAGCTGTAGCCCTCCAATCCCTTTGTCTGTGTGCCTCTGCCTCGGTGCCTTGTTGTTCGCTCTGAAGATACGTGCCGCACGTTTAGCAACACTCCTGTGAGCTTCGGAGCTTTCACGTTAGTCTCAAAAAGATTTGTAAAAACCCCCGTGCACTGGTTCCGAAATAGAAGACACGCTTCTCTGCAGTGAACTTCCTTTCCTAAAAGTCACAGCTAGCAAAGCGCATTGGGACATTTACTAAGATTCGTTAAACTTTGGTTAGATTTAGCAGTTTGGGAGTGTTGTGCTTTGCAAATGGTCCACAGTGGGGTCGGATTCACTATGGTTAAATATCCTACTAAAGAAAAAGGAAGAGGGAAGAGCTTTCACACAGGTCAATGCTTATCGATTCGTCCTTACAGCGGATGAGTTGGACACATCAGCTCTGACTTGCCGGACCGGTCTGAGCTGAAGTGGGACCAAATTGTGAGACTCGCGTGAATGTTTGCATGAAGATCAGCAGGCGCCACGTTACCCCACACCTCCTATTCTGTCATTTGTGAAGCCATCTGCTTTATTCTTTTCCTCTGTGCGTGGCTTTTACACCGTCTTTTCTCCATCTGCCTCCCAACTCTCACTTCCCCATCCACTGCTACTCCTCAGTCTCTTCATCCCTCACTTCAGTGTTGAATTATTGAGACAGACTGAAGCAGCTGCTCTCAGCTTTGCGTCAGAGTTGAGAGAGACAGAAGAGAAAGAAGGAGACAGAAGAGAGGGAGATATGGTGGGCAGGCTCATCCATGTTTAAAGAGGGGGTTTTGTCGGGAGCCTCAGGCAGGATGTCAGGTGTGCCGACCGTGTACATCAGGGAGATTTCTCTCTCTGTGGAAGTGAGTTTATGCACGCGCAGATGTCCCATCTTTAAATGTATAAGAGCGTAGTGGGCAGGGAGGTCAAAGGGCACCTCACGTGAAGTGGAAGAAGGAAGAAAAAATTTCTTAAAGCAGGAGAGAGAATACCAACCAAGAAGCGTACGAGTCAAGCTATGTGGAGGCCACACAACCTCAACAAATGGCAGAAAAAGGGTTGCTTCAGTTTTTTTAACCTCCCCTGATGAATATAATATCACACACTGCTACTTGACTGCTTCTCTAATCTCCTGTACCACCTGCTGTTCCCTCCACTGTAATACTGGGCATGTTCCCGTTTTTGTTCCAGTCAAAGCCATTTTTTTCGTCTCTCCCTTCACTCCACCAACCGCTAGTGGCTCCTCACCTTAAACTTCTCTTTCTTTTTCTATGTGCAAGCTTCTGAGCTTTAATAATGCAGTAGGCCAGGTGCACACACAAGCCGCCCCTTCTTGCAGCCCACATACAAAAAAACCCACACACATACACACCACACATAAAAAATTCATCGAAGGCCTCTTGGGGGGCATCTGCATCGTGAACCTCCCATCTCCAGACGTAAGACCAAGTCCTTACCCGTTTCCTTCCAGTCAAAACTCCAGTGTAAGGATGCACATGTATTGAGGAAGCCTGTAAGCCCGCAGTGTGCAGGGACATGCAGACAGTATCAATATTTGAAGCACTTGCTGTATCCTAAAGCTTCCTGTGAGCTTTTGCCAGGCATTTCAAAAATATTTAAAACTGGTTTTAAATCCAAGGAATCTGCGGGTGTTGAGGTGCAGAGGTAGAAAGCTCTGTGATGCATAGCATGTGTGTGTGCGTTGTAGGTGCTTGTGTGTGGCTCAATGCTAGACTGACCTGCAAGTGGCAGTGACTTACACTCTACACCAGCGGTCACAGAGAGCTCTGTGACCTACAAATTGCTAGGAGCCTCAGAAAGTGGTCAGATTCCCCTGGCTAAAGTGGTCAAGTGTTCGCGTGTGTGTTTGTGTTTCAGCAGAAGTGCAGCCTTTAGCCTCATAAGCGCATTGGTTATTTGTACAACAACTAATCTGCCACGCTGTCTGTTTTGAATTAAGTGGTTGCACTCGGGATGGTTTCTTTCTTTTGGAATATCAGTGCACTATGAGAGATTTATTTATCATGGAATATAATAAAAAATATGAATTCTTTTGCGAAGAAGTCAAGGCCAGTTGTGCTTTGTTTGTTTGTTTGTTTGTTCATCGATATGTCTGCCTGTTCATTTATGCGGTCTTATCTCTGTGACTATCTGCAAAAGGGAAACACCCTCAGTTATTTATTACCTTCCAAGCAGGTCAGCCCACTGTACATACGCAGAGAAAGCAGCACTTTGAAACTGTTATCTCTTTCCGCATGAAGTGCAGGACTACTAATGATACATGTTCAACCTGGACTGACCCATTAATAGTTTAGTCTTATGTAACACATGTGTCATTATTGTTGACTGAAAACCGTGTCTGCAGCTGGGATGTGTGTTTACAAAGAAACTTTCAGTTTCTGTTCTCTCTTGGTCTCGTTCTCGCACTCTTAACTTTTAAGACAAGTTGGGTAGTTGCAAAATGTTTCTTTTATTGAAATTCCCACCTAGACTCATCACTTAAATGTATTCAAAGTAGCAACCAATAGGAATGTACCAGTTTATTGTTGGTTAATGTTACTGCCATTGGTTAGACATTTATAGTTTTTTTTGTATCTGTGATCCAGGTTTATTAGTTACAAACACAATTTGAGCTCATTCAAAATTGGTTGAAAACTTTATGATTAATACGCAGATCTTTGCTTACCTGACACAAAGGGTACAGTCGAAAATTACAAAAACAAATCGGTTTCCACTACTGTCTAAATTATTTCAATCATTAGTTCTGGCCCAGAATTTCCAACTTGTTGCAGCGCTAGTATACAGTGCATATTATATTATTAAGCTCAGGTCAAGAGGACAGGAGGCTGTGCGCCTCATGTCGACCCACTTGAATGCCAACGACGCATAGCGGCATGCAGGACTCTTAAGGTGGCTTACAGTCTCTATAGGCTTATACATGCAATGTGTGAGCAGTCTTGGAAGTTTGCAGGTTTTGAGTCCAACAATGTTGGTGAACGGGTGTATTGATGGTTATATACATGTATATATGTATGAAATATATGAATGACACTCAGAGCTGGTCATGGATGATGATGAATTTGCCACCTTCAGTTTGATATCTTGTGTTAAATCATACACATAATGTGTTCTGCTTAACTTTTAAGAAACATGCATTAAAATCCGCTCACTAGCCCCGTAAATGTCTTCTGCCTGTTTTCTCTCATGAAGGACAAGGTTTGAGCATGTAGGGACTAACATCACTGCTGTTACTGTCTATTTGCCTATTCATATCTTTCACAGACTACATTTGCATACTAACAATGCATATTTTAAACATTTGCATACCATTTGTAGTAAGAACAGGTCAGTCACAGATCATATCTCTTAACGTAACCCATGGCAGTTTTTTTTTTTTTTTTCCATTTCTGTTATTAAGCCTTGAACCTCACAGAGAATTTGTTCATTGCTTTACTATCTGGACGTTTATTTTAAGCGCATTTATTTAATTTTTTTCCTTCAGTACAGGCTATTAGTTTAAAGACCAATGCTCTACATGATTGTGTTTATAGCCTGGGATGATTTGCAAAACGTACTCCTAAAAGAGACAAGAATAAGGAAACAAGTGCGGTGGTTTAACATCCCCATAGCTAACACTGGATAATTCTGAATACTAGCACAATGGCAGTTGAACCAACTTCATACTTTTATTGAGCTTCTAAACATTTCTTTGAAATCAAGTTGGATGATTTTGATATTTAAAATGGAAAAACTAAATGTAAACAGGGTTGTAAAAACCTACATTTCTTTTCGAGGGATGTCCACGACGGCAGTCGCATGCCCTGGAACGGTACTGGGGCGAGGCCCTCTGTCATCTCCAGACACAAGCAGCTGGAGGCAACTGCTAGTGATCCTTCCACAGGTTCACCTAAGGAAGTCTTGGTACAGCAAGTAATTCTTTTACTTTTAAGTAAGAACAGTAATCTGGGGGTTTGACAAAACATGTACAGGAGCTCAAGTTAGTTGCTTCAAGCTGTTTCTAGAAGTCCTTGCTTAAACCTTTTTGCATGTCTGTCTGCAGCGTCAGACAGCAGGTGAGACACTTGCACACATTTAGACATGTAGCACATGCAGCTGTGCTACATGTAAATTTATAGTAAATAGTTGGACAGGATCAGTTAGCAAATATTTGTTACTTCACTTAAAACAGGTGAGCTGTCACATAAAATTGACCTTTATCCCAATGACAGAAATTTGGATTTAATTGTTATACTTGTTTTGACTGTTAATCTAAAGATTTCAAATTGACTTCAATTAAAAAAAACAAACAAACAAATGTCATAAAAATAATATAATGTTGATGGAGTGACGTTTAAAACAAGCCAGCACTTGACTAATGTACAGCATGCACTCATCAGCTTTATTGATTGGTTAATAGAAAATCAGAAAACTGTGATATAAATCCACCATAACTATCCCCAAATCACAGGGTCGCGCCATCAGGCGTCCTGATTAGTCAGAATAAATTTTACATTTACCAGATTGTGACCAAGAGATGAAGCGTCAAGCCTAAACATTTGAGATCATTTGACAAATGATTTCTGAGCCTCCAGTCGATGGTCCTAATAATAGTGGTGGATTAATTTTCTTTTTATAGACACACCCCAAGGTTTAATCTTAGTCCATATGCACTTCAGGACCACAGCTATGCACAAACCTAAAGGTAATTTGAGTATTTGCAACCTCGGCAGTTATTAAACTGTGTCTTTATCTATTTTATTTTCATTGCATGCTGATAGAACTGATCAACTTCGTCTTTAGTATCTTCTTAAGAGCCTTAAATGCATTAAATGTGTTTTAATAGATATTTCATCTTATGAAGAAGCAACTTTGGAAACGAAGACAGAATTGGAAAAAAAAGCTGTCAGTGGTTGAAAACAAACTGAACAACATCCTAATTATCTCAAAATCATGTGTCATTGATCAGTTCATCGACTAATGATAGGAACTATGACACTAAGCGACTGTCCTTCTCATTAGGACCTTATTGGCCTGTCAGAGGACTGTCTGCTCTGGGCACACGGGGCACTGTCATATCCACACTGCTGGTCGATTGATGGTCCATTAACAGCCTATTAAACATGACTAAGTGAAGGAGTTAGGAGTACAATGTTGGGCCAATGGGGGTTTCCCACTCCACAGCATGGTTGTCTGTCTGTTAATAGACCCTGGTGGATTGCCATTTTCAAGTGTTGCTGGCCTGTTATAATAGCAGCGATTTTGAAAAGTTTGACAAGAGCTTTTAAAATATTGTTGGAACGATTGGGGATGCCTGTCATGTGCAGCTATTTCTGCTGGTATGTGGTGCTTTGAATAGAAGCGCATTCTTCAAAGAGTCTGACTGTCTTTAGGTTTTGTTGTGATTAAAGGAGTTTGGATAATTAGGCTTAATAAAATGCACAGAAGCAGTAAAGTATAGCAAACTATACAGACCACCTGGAGGCCCAGAATGTTTAAGTGAGATTTATGGTCTAGGAGAACAGAGGCGCTGTAGAGCTTCAGTCACAGGAGCTTTTGTTTTTCTTCAGTGACTTTACAGCCATCCCGAAATAAAGTGAAGATAACAATACGGAGGAGCTCCAAGTCTCCGTAACTTTAAGCTCAAGGAACTAATGTCCAGGAAGTGTTTAAGGAACTGAAGGTTCATTTTGCCCCTTTTGTTTTTACTGTAGTGTAAAGAGCCATAAAGACAAATCAAATTAATCACTAAGTGAGGAGGTGATGAGGTTATGACAAAATGTCCAGATGCTTTAGCAAGGCCATATGCATTACTTTAAAAAAAATCACTACTATATGGAAAAAGTTTTCATTATTTATTTAATAAATGGAAGAGTCAAATCCACCTAAGTTAAATTGTAAATGTACAGCAGTGTTATGAGTATGCATAGTATGGAGTGTAATACTGGGATATTTACTTGTATTAATAGAACTATTCACTGTAATGAAAAGAACTATAATAACACAAGCAAAATCTTAGGTTGGTCATTGTTAGTCCAGTCTTCTGTTGCTGCATGATGTTATTATAGGTTAGCCTGATGGCTGAACGTTTGAACCTTTGTCTGAACTTTCAGAAAGTACTTCCTGTTTAACCCTAACAGTATCTGACTGACATTTAGTTAACCCAACTTCTCTGTTGATTGAGGAAAGTTCTAAACGACTTCACCCTCTTTTTATTTTTCCCACTCTTGCCACTTCCTGTTAATAGTTTGTTCCTTCTTCACAGTTGAACAGTCGTTGATCTGTTGATACATAATCTTCATTCTTTTTGTCTAATTTGTTAAAAATGCAAGATAAAGAAAGAGGAGTTTGACATTAATGTTGAAAAATATCACTAATTTTTCTTTTTCTTTTACATTTCAGGTTAGCGTTATATGTGTACGAATACCTGCTACATGTGGGAGCACAGAAATCAGCACAGACCTTCCTGTCTGAGGTAAGACGGCAGCCATGACATCGACTTTTTTATGCTGTACCAAGCCCGGTCGGTTTAGAAATGCCTTCATTCTTTGCATCATTCCTGAAAATCACCCTTATAGTTTAACCTTACCAACTCCTGTTCAAGTACATGCTACCAGAAACATTGGCCTTGGTTACTAATGAATGGAAAATGGCTTCCTACATTACCAAGCTTTACACGATAGATCCCTCCTGTAGCTCGTGTTATAGCAGCTTGTACCCTCTCAGGCATACATCGTCAGTGCAAACATGCTAAACATGATTACAGGGTGCAAGGTGTTGCATAAATTTTTCATAAGGAAATCCTATAACGTTACACCGGATCATGCTCACTGTCCAACCAGGGAATCTTAGTGAAGCGGTGAAGTAATGTTATTTCTAGCCGTTTATAGGCAGTGTATTGTAAACTGCATTCTCTCAAGTCTGCTGACAGCCCATTTGGGTGTAAGGAAGTAAATTAATAAGCTATACTCTAGATGATGATTGTACTTTACATTCAAAAAGAGGAACAGTACAGGGGCTAATAGAAGAAAGATAGTCGGGAAGAGGGTGATGCACAGAGCCAGAAGGATGCCGATCTTCACATTCGATACCAGTGACAGTTTGAGACTAACTGATTATGTGTTCTTAACCTCGGACCTGCAGACATAATCCTCCCTCTCTAGTGGCCATAAGTGACCTCTTTTTTTCTGGCTTCCTTTTCCTTTCCCTTTTTCTTTTCCTTCTCTCAGATTCGATGGGAGAAGAATATTACATTAGGGGAGCCCCCCGGATTCCTCCATTCATGGTGGTGGTAAGCGATCTATTCAGTTGTTCTATTATTAGCAGCGCCTTTTTGCTTTTTATTCTTGTTTATTTTGAGTGAGTATGTGGATTTTTACTTGCTTAAACACATTTTACAGTGTACGTCTTAAACTGTGTATCCCCCCCTCCAATAAATCACTACTGTTATGTGAACAAACAGCTGTAATCCAGGTTTGAGAATAATAAACTCAACACATAAATCAGTACATGCAACCATTCAAAAGTTAAGGTGCTTGGGAAATGCCACTTTTTAATTTAATTAAGGGTACTTGCCCATATTCATGATTTAAAGTGACTCTCAGAGGTGGGAGGTCTGACAGAGTCTCACCCTTGGGGTTGACCAGACTCACCGAGGGCGTGACCCCCTCCCTTCCTGTCTTCTCGCCTCTCCCCTCCTCCAGCTCTCCAACCTTCACCCCCGATTCTGAAACAATAGATCCAGATGGTTAGGGAATGGACCCCTCCTCACCCTCTCGTCAACCTTTGTAGCCCCCCCACCTCCCACTTTTTTCCCCTTTGTTCACATGGGAGAGGGATTCTTGGTAGATTAACCCTTTGCATTCCAGCTTCCTTTGTGTACAGCCTCCCCCCACCCCTACCTCCACCCCCCAATCATTTCTCTCCAGGGCTAAGATTTAACCTTTAGGGTCAATACCTTACGAACTGATCAGCAGTTTCACTTGTTTTGAGGGATTGCCCTCATCCTGTGGTTCACATTTACGGGTAGAACCATGTTTGTTTTACTGTAAAACCCACATTTAACAGCATTTTTTTTCTTTCTTTCTACCACATATTTAAACTTGGATGGAAATATTTAAGCCTGTTATTGGTATGTGGGTTTCCTGTGGATGCAGAGTCCCCTCCATTGTGTCCGTTTGTAGTTAAGACTACTGAGAATTGAGTCAAGCCGTTCGAGGCTACACTTAAACAGATCTTAAGCTTATGTAGCTAAAAAGAAACCGAGCACAAGCTAAATTGTTGAAAATCTAAGCTGAAAATTAAGCTGCCGAATTGTCTTAATACACTAAAACAGTAGCAGACAAGGAGTATTTTATTTTTCTAAAAGTCAGCACACCTAATGACCAAAACCACAGAAGAATACAATTTATTTTAATTTTTTTCACACTTCTTCACATTCTTGGCATATGAAACCATTTAGCTTTCACTTAAGACTTTGAAATCTGTTCAGTATAAGCTTTTAAATGATTCCTGGAAATGACTGGAGAATAGTTAAAATCATGCATTTTAATGGGGATTTAAAATATGAGAGGAGTTGGCAAGTATTTGGAGGAGTACTGACTGGTAGCTGAATCACGTCTTTTAACGGGAAGATGTTATTTTCTTACCTCCTCTTAATAAAAGTTTAGCTTAGAGAGTGGATAACAGTGTTATAAGAGTGAGTTATTGAGCACTGATGCTATTGAACCAGCTGTAAAAACAGCACACACACAGCTGAGTAGCTGATGCTTGGTTTGGACAGAACCACACCAAGAAGTTGATAAAAATGATGAGCAATACCTGGTGATGTCACCACTCAGGAAGCTCTTGTATTGAGTTCACAGGTGGCCAAAAGTTTATTTGGATGAATGGGAAGTTTTATCGTCTCCTTGTGTTTAACAAGGAGAATTCATAGCTGTGGAGAGTCATCAAAGGAGGAATTTCAACAATTGATCAAGGTCACCAGAACAGCTAGCAGTGTCATCTGACATCATGACGACTGTTTACACTCAGTGGTTGTTGTGAGATACAACAAAAATAAATCAGAATATGTGTTCAAAATGACAAACCCCCTATACCCCCCAGGGTGTAGTTTACATATGAAAATGTTGACAATTGTGAACATCCGAACATTTAAAAAGAAAAACAATATTCAGTGCAGGGCCACACAAAGAACAAAGTAACATATTAAAAAAATTCTGAAAATGTCAAAGTACAGCATTTGCCAACCTCTCATACGAAGGCAACTCTTCTCAGTGAATCTTTGTAGAGCCTATGACGTAACCTACGTGGCCAACGCCATTGCCAGCATTCATGCTTTTGCGCGGTGTTAATTGTGTTGTGTCCCAGTGTTTTATGCAGTGCCAGCCACGATACAAACAAATAAAATCCTGAGGCTTTTCCCCTCCTGCCTACCCGGTCTTTGGTGTGGTCAGTTTTTGTTGTCGTTGGTTTTGTTTGGTTGTTTCGGAAGCAAACATATTTACCCCTCAGGTTTTTCCACTTCTTTGTACATTCCCTCATGTCCGTTCCGATAGATCCAGCAAGCTCCCTGCCGCAATTTGCTGACTTCTGTGAGTCCTCAAATTGAGGCTATGATTATGATTCCCCATATTTAGGTGATAATTGTTATTCTCTCACTGATGCATTCAAAAACTGGTACTGATCAGGCCAATCACAATAGCTGCAGACTGCATTTATGTGCCATGTAGTTACATTTCCAGGTGCACATCAGGTTACAGGAGATGTTTGTGGTGCCATCAACAATAAGAGTCCAAGGACGTGTTGTAATAAGAAGCAAATGAAAGTAGAGAATAATAATTTGAAAGCATGCAAGGCAGTATGAATCTAAAGAAAAAGTTAGATTTGTTATTTAGTTAAAAACTTTGTTTCAGAAGGTTCTGAAAGGTGTAATAAAATAAGTATGATGCTTACATAACATACATACATATGTATGTATGTATGTTATGTAAGTGCATCTTCTTGAGATCAATTATTTTTATTTTTATTTTTATTGCACACTTGAGCTTTCAACTTTGGTCAATAGTGCTGCTAGGTGCATTTTTTCCCCAACTTTTACCGACACTTGCTTCTTCCACAGTGAGCTGATACAGGTACCGCAATGCCCACAAAAACCTGCCTCCTCTCAGTCAGACTCATGCACTGCAGCTGAATAATACAGGCTTATTTTTATTTTTTAATACAAATCAGACATCTTATGCCCTCAGTGTTGCGGCGACTTGTCCGCCCCTGGTAATGAAAATAGTGTGGAATAATTATATTTTCTAAGGCATTCAAAATTATGAATTCCAGTGTAATG